TAATGACCTTGTACTCTGTTAATTTCATGTATACAGGCCTTAATCTAGATAGGATATTATATCTGAATGTGTATAATGTGTTTGTGTGTATTTCTGTGGGGAGTTGCTTTTAGGAATTTGTGGAGGGTTTTCATGGACGTTGTAGAAAAATACATCAAAATGTTTTGTTAGCCAGCATGAAAAGAAGGACATAGTTTCATGTCCCTAGTTTTTCAATTAAAACTTTATACAAATTAATGGAAGACAGGAAGAGAAGTCAGATAATAGACTAGGTTAATGAACAAAGCTCCTGAAGACATTTTTTTTTCCTGGAAATCATTAAAACAAGGCAAGATTAAATATTTACATAGTTTTAGGATCATGTTGGTTCGATTGGTTAGAGCATTATGAAAATGAGAACAAGATTTACTCCTTATATGGGCAAAGTAAATAGGAAAGACATGGACACTCATCATATAGGATGAGGAATAATCAATCATATGGTCAACCCCTCTGAGTCACTCTTCCCATCTGTAAAATGAGAGGATTGGACTAGATCTTTGGCATCTGTTCCAGGTTCAGATCTATAATCCTATGATCTCCATTTCCATATACGTTTGTAGTCATGGCACGGACAGACCGTATTAGTTTATGGATCTAATGGTCAGTACATATATACTCAGAGAATAAGAGAAAGTCATAGACAGAGACTGTGACAGGAGAAATCCTCACTCAAGAGAGTTATAGATAGAAAATAAGAAACACTGAAAAAGAGAGCTGGGAAACAAAACAAGAATATTTCATCTTTGCCTTTTAGAATATTTATCTTGTTGCACATTCTATTTTCTATTCAGTTCCCTTCCAAATAAATCAAATATATTTAATTTTAAAATAAAATATTAAATACTTTAAAATTAAAAAAATAAATTAAATAATTTGAAAATAATGAAAATATTTTAAAATAATGTGGAAAATGCTAAAGGTATCAAAATAAAAACAAAAAATAATTTGTTTTTTAAGGAATTCTTACAGTTCTACCAATTTATTTTTTTAATCCTAATCATATTGAAAATTCTATAAAATTAGAAAGTTTTCTTTCCTTATTCTTCCATCTTTTCTTCCTTATTTACTTTTTTTTTTTTAAGATTAGATCTCCCTATTTTGCCCATGCTGGAAGTTCAGTAGACATTCATGGCCTACTGACTGTCACAGAATCTTTATCCTACTCCATTTTTCCCACCTGGACCAGTTGGCTACTCCTCACCCTTCACTTCCCCTCTTAAGCATCCTGGTGGTCTTTACCTCCTAGGGGTTCATCATATTAGTACTGGATTTAGATGGACTTTAGCCCAACTATAGCTCAGTATTCCTGACTTTAACAAATCCACCAGCCTCAGCCTCCCTCAATAGCATTTGATATCATATCCAGTCATTTTTAAAAGCATTCTAAATAACAGACAAGCAGGTAATTTAAGTTCATTGTATGAAAAGACCTCTAAAATCAACAGGATGATCAATGCAAAACAGGCTTTATGTCTCCGACTTAAGAAAACAAATTGTTGTTTAATCATTTCAGTCATGTCCAATTCTTCATGGCCCTATTTGGGGTTTTCTTGGCAAAGATACTAGAATGGTTTACCATTTCTCTCTCCAGTTCATTTTACAGATGAAGAAACTGAGGCAAATAGGGGTAAGTGACTTGCCTAGCATCACACAGCTAATAAGTGTCTAAGGGCAGATTTGAACTCAGGAAGTTGAGTCTTCCTGACTCCAGGCCTGGCACTCTATCCACTGTGCAGTCTAGCTGCCCCAAAGAAAATGAATACAATTATGTAATCAAGACATTTTCTTCTGCATTTGCTTTCCAACTTCTATCTCATTAACAATCAGAGATATTATTTATTCCATTACCTTGGTCTCTTCTAGACAGATATACCTGGGAAATGCTAAAATGTTTCTCTGATTTTACCTTATATGTGTTTTCGTGAATTACCCAAAGGAAACATATTCAAATTATACTTGATACTTTGATGGGATCTGTAATTTTATATGTGCATGTACTCCTTCCCCTGAGGCAGGGAATCATAGTATATACATACCTCTTCCTCCTCCTCTGCCATTATTATCAAAGTTCTTTCATAATCCTATGCAGAGAATCTTCTCTATTATCTGGTAACATCCCTCTGGAGCTGGTAGTACAGAGGTGATGGTGCCAGCATTTTATACTATGTCTTAGTATCATTACAAAACCAGCCCCTGCCTTTTCCAGTTATGCTTTCTGCTGAGTTTATTTCATGAAACATCTTATACACAAGTAATAAGTGATAAGCTGCTATAGCTTACTTGCACTCAACATGTGTCTCTCCGTTATCTCTTGGATTATTTCTAAATTTACAATTATTTTAAATCTCAAAATTTTATATTATTATTATTATTATTATTTTTAGTTTTTGGTGAGGCAATTGGGGTTAAGTGATTTGCCCAGGGTCACACAGATACTAAGTGTTAAGTGTCTAGAACTGCATTTGAAATCCGGTCCTTCTGACTCCAGGGCCAGTGCTCTATCCACTGTGCCACTTAGCTCTCCCCATTATGGTTGTTTCTTGAATTCAATTAATCAAAAAACATGTATTCAAGTATAAGGTACTACAGATACAAAGAGAAAAATTAAAAACAAAAACAAAAACAGTCCTTGTCTCAAAGAGCTTACTTTCTATCAAGAGTGATGCACTTGCACAAACACACATAAATTTATTTTATACTCCCAAAGAGGTAGCATGATGTGGGTGATTCAGAACATGCTTTGGAGTTAAGGAAGGCCCTAGATTCAGGTCCTACTTCTAACAGTAAAGGTTGTATGATCCTGGCAAATCAGCTTCCTCCACTACCAGAAGAGAAGTCCCTACCTCTCCCTTGAGTCAAAAATCTCTGGCTTGTGTGTTTCAATGTTTGCCTTTATCAGTCAACTTTACCTCCAGTGACACTGGCTTCCTTGCTATTGCTTGAACAAACATCCCATCTCCGAAGCACACGGCTGTCCCCCATGAATGGAATGTTCTCCCTCATTTCCTGGGTTTCCTTAAAGTCTCACCTTAGATCTCACCTTCTGCAGAAAGCCTTTCCTGATGCCCCTTAATTCTCATGCTTTCCCTCTTTTGGTTATTTCCAATTTTCTTATATGTTGTGTCTTTGAAAATCATTGTTTTCACATTAGCCTATTAGTTTGTGAGCTCCTTGAAGGCTGAGCACAATGCCTGCCCAGTATATGGTAGGTACTTAATAACTGTTTATTGGCTAACTGATATGTGTGTATATAAATATATATGTATAACATATTATATACGTGTATGAAAATACCTTTAAAATCAATAAGAATTAAAAATTTCCCAAAGAAATAGGCTACAACTACATTGGCAACCTGAAGTTAAAATTTCTGATTCACATTTATTCAAGAAACAATTAAATAATATTTATGTGCCAAAGGCCAAAACATAAGCACAGCAGTGGTTAACAAGAACCTTTAGCAATTATTTTGACCAACCTGAATTCTAAAGAAAATTTAATCTCTTTATATTTATATGCTATTTTTAATTATTATTTTCAATTCCATGTCAACTTCCCGCTCATTTCAATGGCTTAAAAAGAGCTCTAGGATATCTTATTACTAGCAATGTTTAGTTTCATATTGTAACTTGGAACAGGAAAACATAAAAGAGGAAAGAGAGGTGAATGACTTTTTTTTTTCAGGCAAGAGGCTTTCCTTCTATTCTTTAAAAAGTCCAAGGCACTCACAGAGCAGAAAGTTTTATTATCACCAATTTGAGGAGCATAATTCTTGCTTGATGTTGCAATAATCTAAGACAACCTAAGACAAGTTTTTAGTCACCCCCACCCCCACACACATGATATTACATGTAGAAGGGATGAAAAATACTACTCAACATGTCACTTGTGATATTTTAGCAGGCCACCCTTAATATTTCCACAGCTAATGAAAATGAAGGGGAGAGGAATATGTAAATAAGGAAGATCTTGAACACAATTCCACTGATGAGGACTGATTTTTTTTTAGATTTAGTAGATGAACAGCTACATAGAGCCTCTGAATTAGATGAGATTTGAAGTAACAGTTTTGCTAATACTAACAGGTTAATTATTAAATAATAATAATAAATATTTTAATCAAATAGAAAGTTATTTTTAAAAACGTCCAAAGCAAAATGAAACTTCTCAAGTTTCCTTTAAGATTACTCTGTGTGTGTGTGTGTGTGTGTGTGTGTGTGTATTTGTATTATTAGTGGTGATTTTCTTCAACAAAGGCATGTCAGGAAAGAGAGAGTTAACTATCTGTGAAGCAAGTTACAGGCAGCTTCTAGGAAGGAAACTTCATAACTATAGTTTGTTTTCAATGGGGAAAAGGTCGTATTGGGTGGAAAAAGGAAGAAGTAAGTGTCTGAAAGCATCTTAGCCTTCATCTACATGCAAAAAGCAATTTAAAAGCCAGACAACACTTACATGTCAGGAATTAAACACATACATACACATACACACAGAGCAGCCAATTTTATGTTTTGCTGACTAGATTTTAATGACGTCAGCATTTCATCGATGAAAACAGTCAAACAAGATTAGCTAAGTACATTATGAAGGAAAATGTGACAGTTAAAATTCATCAATATAGTTCAAGAATGAGAAGAGTACATAAAAGTCTATTTCTGTCATGTCACTTTCAGTAAATACATTTAACACACATCGTTTTAGGGAGAGAGGGGGAGGGATCACAGAAAGGAAGAGGTGTATCACATGTCCAAAACTGTTTTACCCCCAAACAAGGAACAATTAAACAAGGTACAAAAACACAAGATTATAAACCGGCAGCCACACAACAAACAAATCAAACTCAGCTCTTTAAAGTTCATCCTACTGGCCTGTTAAAAACACACCTTTCTTGTGGTTTTGTTTTTGTTTTTGTTTTTTACTGACCAAAGTCATCTAGAGATTTGCCCAAACATTCAACTTACCTGGACTGCATATCTTGTTGAGTTTTGGACTGGCTGACTTCAGCTGGTGGTGAAGGATGAGTGACGTGTTGCTGGAGTTCTACAAGAGACTGGTAATACTGTTGTTGATGGTGTTGCTGCTGTTTGTACCGAGATAAACTAAAAAACAACCCTAAAATGGCTTTCAAATTTCCATTTCTTATTTCTGTTAAAAAAAACAGGAAGGAAAAATATAAATACCATAATCTAAATTTAATGTTACTATTGCTACTATTGTTGCTATTATTATTATTATTACTACACATGTACAGAAAATACTTCCTCACTTAATTAAACTTTGGATATAACAGTTTTGTTAACTGACAAACAAGAAAACCAACCCTGGAATCTTCATCCTTCTTTTACATGCAGCCAAAGCAAAACTGGATCTCTAACCTAACCTGACCTTTCCTGATAGGGATAGGGATGGGAGAATTAGGTGAAAAACTATTCAAAAGAGACTTGTCTTTGCCAACTTTGAGACTCTGGCTTCTTCGTGAACAAATCAAAAACTCAGTAGCTTCTCTTTCAAATATCTGTTCCAATATATTGCTTCAATCACATTTCTACAGTTGGGGATGTGGTTCACACCATCAAGTAAGGAAAGAAAGCTACCTGCGTCCCTTTATTTTATAGTTGCTGGCAATGGGCCTAAAGTTAATTTTTAAAAATTTATTTTACTTTTAATTTCTAGAATAAAACAAGAATTTCCAGAACATAGTAGCATAGAAATATGATTTGCACATGAAACTGCAAATCCGTTTGTGCTTGCTATTCCTTTTAAATCTACGATAAAGTTATCATGTAAATTTCTTTTTTTCTCTCCCCCCGCCCTAGAGATGTCTGTTGTAAGAAATGTGTGTATACATACACATACATATATATACATGTGTGTATATGCACATAGATATGTAAAATTATTCTATACATAATTCTATTTATCAGTTCTTTCTCTGGACTTTATAACCAACAGAATTTCTAGCGTGAAAGGCTCTTTATCCTTTTTTTGCATAAATTAAGCACAAATTAATAACTTTTTTTCTAAATATAAGAGCACAACATCCAGGAAACTGAGATTTCGATTTAGTTTTTCTAATGAAAGCTGTAGGTCAATTTCCATTTTAATCACCCATTTAGGGGTAGTGATTATTTCTTTTCTTTTCTTTTCTTTTCTTTTCTTTTCTTTTCTTTTCTTTTCTTTTCTTTTCTTTTCTTTTTTGTCTTCTTATAAGTGCCTACCACAGTATTTGGCATATAGCAGGAGCTTAAACAAATACTTGCTTGTTCATCCATTGTTCCCCAGAATTTTCCTCCTGCATAAGATTTACAAGGTCTAAGATTTCATAGCTGTGGGTACCTGCCTCACTGACAAAGACCACAGTGTCTCTATTCCTTGACAGAACTGTCTCCAAGAATTTCGTTGGCCCAAAGATTTGCTACCCTGTGGCAGTTTTCCTTTGAAGGCACATGTGTTGTCCTTTGAGTGAACATAAACTACTTTAAGAGAGGAGATTATTTCACTTTTTCTTTGTATGCTGTTGCTGTTAAGTCATTTTCATTTATGTTTAACTCTTTGTGATCCCATTTGGGGTTTTCTTGACAATAATACTGGAGTGGTTTGCCATTTCTTTCTCCAGATAATTTTACAGATGAGAAAACTGAGACAAGCAAAGTGACTTGCCCAGGATCACACAGCTGGTAAGTGTCTAAAGCAGGATTTGAACTCAAGAAGAGGAATCTTCTTGACTTCAGGCCTGGCACTCTATCCACTTTGTCAACTAGCTGCTCCCTGTCTTTGGATTCCCAGCATTTATCACAGTACCTGGTACACAGATTCTTTTTTTTTTTTAGGCAATTTATTAGGCAAGTGACTTGCCCAGGGTCACACAGCTAGTAAGTGTCAAGTGTTTGATCTGAGGCCCGATTTGAACTCAGGTCCTCCTGACTTCAGGGCTGGTGCTCTATCCACTGTACCACCTAGCTGCCCCTACACAGATTCTTGATTATGTTCATTAACTGTCTGACTAATTAGTTGATATACAGCTTGGTAATACTTGGTAGAACTCAGGGTCACCACCATTGCATGATGAGACATCAGAAGACAGTTATCATTTTTCATTCCTTTAGATATATGATTAAACTTTTTTTATTTTTTATTAAACATTTTTAAATGGAACAGCTGCTGTCAGTATTTGAAAGTTCCATTTAAGTTTTATTCACTTATTTCTTTATAATAATGAGGATATGCATAACAGTTACAACCTGCAGCTGACCTTTATTACAGTAGCTATATTTTAAATTGATCAGAGAAAAAGAAATAAGCAGAAGAGGGCAAAAATTCTAGAAGACTAGTAATAATATTTTTAATATGGCTTAAAAGAGGCAATAAAATAGATCACACTGTGATTTCCAGGCTTTCTCTCTGCCTTTGGATTCTGGTGGCATTAACAAAGTGCTTGTTCTGCTCTCTTTTGGATTATGATATCAACCTTTCTTCTTAGTGGAATTGCTGCCATCACATGGACCTCCAAAAGGTTATTTTTCTTCCAACCTCTCCCCAGTGTAAAAGGAAACACAAGTGACACCATTACACTGAGTTTAGACTTTGACAAATTTTAAATGAACACTTAAAATACTGCAAGTTCTTGTTTGAAAATATGATTTTATTCATTTCATAAATATTTATTATATATCTGCTACATCCAAGACCTTATGCTAGGGATGGGGATGAAAGAGATATAATCCCTGCCCTCATGAAGGTTACACTCTAAAGGAAAGAGGCAATATGATCACAGATAAGTAATATACATAGTAGACTGTTATAGGAAAGAAGGAAACAAATAGGTATTAAGTGCATGTGCCAAGGACTGTGCTAAGAACTTTCAGATATTATCTTATTTAATCCTCACTAAAACCTTCGAGGTAGGTGCTACGATTATCCTCATCTTCCAGGTGAGAAGTTATAAGACTTACTCAGAGTCAAATAGTTAGTAAGAGCTTGAGGCTGAATTTGAACTCAAGACTTCCTGACTTCAGGGCCCAACCCTCTCTCCATCATGCTACCTATCTTAACTATAGCATCTTCCCTCTTGTTAATTGTTTCCAATTTATCTAGTATATAACCTGTTGGTACAGTTATTGTCACGTTATCTCCCACATAAGATTGTGAGCTCTTAGAAGGCGGGAGTTGTCTTTTGACTTCATTTCTATCTCCAGCACTTAGCATAGTACCAAGCACATAATGGGTGCTTGATAAAATATTTATTGATTGACAGCTTCTTTGAGATAGAGACAAATAAAAGATTTCAGCAAAGTACCCTAGCTAAGCCTTGAAGCGGGAAACATAACTTTCAGCTTGGTTAAGTGAAGGCTTTTTTTTTTTGAAAAAGCAGCAACTGAGTACTTCAGGGAGGGAAGAATTTCAACATATTGAAGTCAAGGCATACATTCTAGTCGCAATTGGGAGTAGAAGGGGAGAGAGTTTATGTAAATGTATATAGGTGGGAGAATACAGGATGAGATCAGAAATCAAAGGCTCCAATATCTAGACACAGACTGGACCTCCAAGGCCATGTATTCCAAGCCCATGATTTTAAAGATGAGGAAACAGAGGATCATCACAGAGATTAAGTGTTTGCCCAAGGCCTCACAGATAGTTTGTATCAGAAGTGGGATCTGAACCAGGATTCTTCTAATTCCAAAGCCTAGGTTATTTCCATTGTACTGCCTAATGAAAGTTACAAGTACAGTTTGGTAGAATGTAGGATGTATAAATGGCAAGAATGTGAAATAAAGCTAGAAAGATAGGATGAAACCAAATTAGATGCTAGGCTAAGATGTTGATATTTTACTTTATAGATTAACATGGAGGGTTTTTTTGTTTGTTTGTTTGCTTGCTTTTTGATACTGGGCAGTAATGTGGTCATGAAAAAGATTAGTCCAGAAACGATATGAATGATGGATTAGAAAGGACAAAACACTGTGATCAACAGAAGGAAATTGCTATTATCAAGGTAAGAACAAATGTGAGCCTGAATTAGCATAGTTGCAACATGATTGACAAGGAGAGATAGATGTGAGAGAAATTAGAAAGAGTGGCAGGAGTTAAGTGGGAGAAAAGAGCTAGAGGCAATTGGGTATGGGATCAAGGGAATTTTTTCCCAAGTACTAATTCCATCTCTGACACTGACTATCTAAGTGACCTTGGACAACTCACTTTATCTTTCAGTTTCCTGGACTGTAAAATGATGTGTCTGGACTAGATGGCCTCTCAGGTTTCTTCTATTTATATATATATATGAGCTTCTCATTAAATTGCTAAGCACAGATTATTAAGTAAAGAGTGATATCATGCTAAGAGATAGAGAAGGTGGGGGGGGAAGTAAGTTTTCAAGAGGGGAAAGATAAGGAGTTCAGTTTCACACATAAAGAGAAGAGCGCAGTACACTGGAAAGAGTTTCGTCTTTGCGGTAAGGTGATTTGAGTGTGAATCTACTTTCTCCACTGCAGTTTACTTATTGTATCCTAAGATGGACAGAGAGATAAAGAGATAGAGATAGGGAGATAAAGATATATAAAGATATATAGATATGTGTGTATGTATATGTGTGTGTATGTGTATGTTAGCTATGTTATGCTGTTGACTCATATTTGAGCTAAAATCCCCTAAAATCCAGAGACCTTTTCCACATAAATTATTGTCTACGTATGCCTTCCTCCATTGTGAAGTTCACTTTTTGTATTTTATTCTTTTTAATCTATTTTTATTTTGTTAGATATTTTCCAATTACATGTAAAAAATTTTTAACATTCATTTTTTTAAATTTTGAGTTCCTAATTCTCTCCCTTCCTCCAGCCCATCCCCCACCTCTTGAGAAGGCAAGCACTTTATCTATTATACATGTGAAGTCATGCAAAAACATTTCCATATTAGCCTTGTTGCAAAAGAAAATACACATCAAAAAAAACAAGAAAATAAAATTTTAAAAGTATGCTTCAATTTATACTCAGATTTTATTCTCTCTTTGGAAGTGGTTAGTTATCTTTCATCATGGGTTCTTTGAATTGTCTTGGATCACTGTTTTGATCAGAATAGCTAAGTCTTTCACAATTTATCATCCTTATAATATTGATGTTACTGTGTACAGTCTTCTGGTTCTGCTTACTTCACCTTGCATCAGTTCAGGTAAGTCTTCCTAGATTTATGTAACCCACTTTTTAAAACCTCTACTTGTAGTCAGGTATAAATGAATTCCAAGATCCCTTCTATTCAATAAGTCTGCATGTCCTTAAAAACAATTTTTAAAATACTTTCAAACTTTATTCCAAATCAAAATTAGCATTATCACTCCTCTGCTCCAAAGTCTTCAGTGGTCCCCTTTAGTCCATTAAGTAAAAATAATACTCCCTTGACTGCCATATACAATTCTTCCCAAGCTGACACTAGTCTATTTCCTTCCAAACTTATCTGACAAATACTCTCTTCTCTGGACTCTGTTCTTCTGAAAACAGAGTACTCTCCATTTGATCAAGCAGCTGCTTGATAGCTAGCACAGTGAATAGACATCTGAATGTAGATTCAGTAAGCTCTCAGTTCAAATCCAGTCCTAGATAATAGCTGTATGAACTTGGTTATGTCACTTAATCTCTGCTTCATTTTCCTCATCTGTAAAATGGTGATAATATTAGTATCTACCTTCCAAGGTTCTTGTGAGAAGCAAACGAGATAATATTTATAAAGTGATTAGCATAGTATCTGGCACATAGTAAGCATTTAGTAAATGCTAGCTACTAGTATTCAAGCAATGAATAAGCAAATTTCTAACTCTACCCAGATATTCTTGTGTCTGGCATATGCTAGTCTTGCTGCATAGAGGACTTAGGAGAAAGAGATGTTGTAGGTACTACACACCAAGGATAAGGAACAGAAAGAAAACCAATTTGCCCACTGTACACCCCCCATTCTTTCTGATCTCCTTGCCTTTGTTCAAATCTTTCTTACTTTGTCTAGAATGCCCGTCCTCCATCATCCTCTTACCAGCTAAATTCCAATAGATTCTCTAAATCCAAAAAAAAAAAAAATTAAACCTTCTCCATGAAGCCTTCCCTGATCCTCTTGTTAGGATGAGCTTCCCTCTTAGATTCCCCAACCCCATCAAAATGGTACTTTGTATCATTCTAATGAACTTATAATAGAATGATGAGGAGCTCAATGGTCTATCATTACAGCTTATGCCCCAAGTAGTATTAGGGGCAGAAATAGCAATAGACAAGTCCAATCTTACAACTGTTATCATAGTTCATGTTGTAATGGTGTATACCATTATATGTGATGGCTATATATACATGATGTAGAAAACATAAGCTATCAGCCTCTTTTGTATCATTAGTAAACTGGTGTAGCCAATAACCACTTCTCAGAAAATATGTTTCTGAGTGGATAAATTAAGATTCATAGAATTACAAAGTAAAGAAATTATAATGAAATGCATTTACCAAAATATTCATTTAAAAAAAGGTAGGTGTGGAGAGGAAGGCAGTTAAAAGACCCCAGATTAAGAATTCTTGGTATGCAAGAAAGTACTTGCTGCCTGGAAAAAAGTTCAGCCTGACCATGTCACTCCCCTACTCAGTACAAGCTGTGGTTCCTATCACCTGTAGGGATGAAATACAAACTCTTCTGTTAACATTTAAAGTCCCTCATTTGGCTACAAACTACTTCCCCAGGCCAGTTATCCATTACTTACCTTCATGTGCACTCTATTTCAGTAAAACCAACCTCCTCACTTTCCCTCACACATAAAATTCTAACTCCTGACAACACCTCTTTTCAAAAGAGTCTCCCATGCCTGAAATATACTCTCTTCTCACCTCCATTTCTTAGAGTTCTTCCTTGAAAGCTCAACCCAAACATTTTCTCCTAAGAAGACCTTTCCTGACTTTCCCCAGGTGTAAATGCCTCCTCCATTCCCTTGTATAAGCTATCCCAAAAGATGCTATTAAATTTTAATATTGCACTAAGACTTTTGGGACATGTACTTATTCTGAAATTTGTATTGTGTATTTTACTTTGTATTTGTGTTTTAAATGTTTACAGGTATGCATGTTGTGTCCCCAAAGAGAGTATAAGTTCTTTGAAGACAAAGATTGTTTCATTGTATCCCCATAACCAATCACAATTCCTGGAACATAGTCATAACTGGTGGGTATATGGGTAGATGGGTGAATGGGTGGGTAGGTGGATAGATGGGTGAGTGGATAGAAGCAAGGGCCCTCACTCTCTGTGTTGATTCATTCTCACCATTTGCTTTCATATCACGTAAGCCTTCTAATCTCCACACTCACCTGTTCTCATTCTCTGCTCTGAATTAAAAATATACAACCCAAAACTTACATGTAATGTCTTTCCTTCCACACTCTCACATTTAGAGAACTTAGGCTAGCTACCATTTAATTTTACAACAATATTTTCACTGCTACATATTAAGTGTTTAATAAATGCTTGTTGCCAGTATTAAATATGCCAACTTTTTATCTACTTCCTTTATTGCAGTTCAGTCATTCAGTCATGTCTGACTTTTTATGACTCCAAGGACTAAAGCATCCCAGGCCCTTCTACCCTCTATTATCTCCCAAAGTCTGTTCAAGCTCATGTTTGTTGCTTTTATGGCACTATCTGTCCATCTCAATCTCTGCCATCCTCTCCTCTTTTTGTCTTCAATCTTTCACAAAATCATGTCCTTTTCCAATTAATTTTACCCTCTCACGTGACCAGCCTCTGTGATCCTATTATTATTATGCTATTTGTCTTATAAAATTTTAGTAATTTTCAATTTTCATATATAAAATATGTTATTTATAACTAAAATTTTAAAATTTATATTTGCATGTTTTATTCTTTCCAAATATAATCAAGAAATTGAAAGGTACTAAAATCAGCTCATTTAGCATTTTACAGAATGCTTAAAAGCCTTTTACTCATGAAACTATTGAAAGACAAAAATAATCGTCCCCAAATCATTCTCCCATTGACTATGATGGTAAGCTTTCTTACCTTCAGCAGATAGACCTTGCACATTTACTCCTCTGGCTGCTAGAAAGCTAAGGCAGACATCAACATTTTCAATCTGCAACATAAAAAGAAATGACAAGGAACTGAGAGACTTTTCACCCCACAGTAAGTAAGAATGAGATCTAGAGGAACAAAATGGGGAAGAAAGGGGATGAATACTTTGCATTCATTACATAGTACAGCTCCTTACCAGATTTTAACAAGAATTATTATGGTTAATTAGGCAGTTGCTATAAAGCTTGCATTGTCCAGTTTGGCACTTACAAACAATTCATAAAGCCTTGTAGCAGAATGGCATTCTGGTAGATCAGCAACCCACCTACTTAACATACAACCGGATTTTGTGCTTTACAAATAAATCTCAATGAAAGCAACCATAGAAGATGTAACACTATGTGTGTGTTCATGAGGAGGTCATAGCAAAAGTGAAAGTTAGCAAGCAATATTTGACAAATCAGCCAAAGGAGAGAAGTAAACTTTTCCTCCTTTTAATCATAAAAGTGAAAAATGTTACATTAACTTATTAATTTGGTTTGTTTCTTGACAATGTAGAGTTAAACAGAAATACTTTAGGGAAATGAGGGATATGTTCAAGAAAAGGATGCCACTGGACATTAACCAACTTGAGACAATAAAAAACTTAAGACAATAAATGAAATGAATGATCTAAACTGCAATTAATCTGATAGTGAAATACGGAGAGGGGAAATTACAAAACAAATTAGGATAAGTGGTTTTAAAAACTGGCTTGAAAAACTATAAAGTTACAGTTTTCTGTGAGTCATCTTCATTATTACATATGTATATGTTTTAATATTTCTCAATAAATTTAAGTATTTAGTTAATTCATCCAAATTTCCTAAACTGTAAGGTGAAGGGTTTGAACTTGACAGCCTTTCCAGTTCTAAATTTATTATCACATGTAACAGCACTCACATATATGAAAATATTATACATAATATCTTCTATATTCTATAACATAATATATAAATTATATACAAAGCATCATAGAAAATGTATAATAATACTATATATTCATATATATGAAACATTATATAGAACATTTTATATATTTGTGCATGAGTGAGTGGAGGGGGAAGGGACAGAGAGGAGAGAGCCAGAGGGCAGAAGACAAAGGAGAGGGGATAGGAAAGATGGCAGAGGTCAGAGGGAGGGAGGATACAGACATGTGTAGAGATAGGAAACAAGTAGTTATTAATTTTGGGAATTATTTCTAAATCAGCTCCCTGCATATTTTAGACCACTGGTTCTTAAAATTTTTTCATCCTATGATCTCTTTATATTCAAATATTTTTATGATACCCCAAAGGACTTTTGTTTATGTGGGTGATAAATATCTTGTATTATTTTGAAAATAGCCTTGACTTCACACATCTGTCAAAAGTGTGTTGGGATGCACAGACTCAAAAATCTATAATTAGAAGGATCAAAGTAAAAGAAGTTGCATAGGATGATGTCATCTTAGGGATGGGGGAGGTAAAGGAGGGAGAAAATTTTGAACTCAAAATTTTAAAAAAGATGAATATTTAAAAAACATCTTTACATGTAACTGGGAAAAATAAAATATGATTTTTTAAAAAAGAATTTCGATCTAAATTCTTTAAACAAGCAACATATATAAATTAGCAGTATAAAGGAAATGATCTAAGCAGATTTTTCATTCTACTGTAAATTCCTACTCCAATGCCTCACTTTAGTGTGAAGGTGATTATTGGTTCCTAAGACACTGCCAAGAAAGCATGAGTTCTGATAAGTAATAACAAAGTTTGGAATGTGGACATGGATAAATACTATATCAGCTTTTTAAAAGACCAGTTTAGCAAACAACACAGCAGCTCACTGCCAGTAGGCTGGCCACTAGGTATAAATTCTTTGAGTTTGACAAACCATGAAACAGATTTTTTTTTTTCTAAAATGATCCTTAATCCTGAGCAGCTAGCTCACTTGAGTTTTTTCAGTGACAGAAGCAGAGTGGTGGAAAGGGGAAGAGAAAATGCTGTTTTTAAATCATCTATAAATATTTACGTCTTCTAAGAGATGCTAATCTACAACCAATGCAAACTCCTATAAGCACTGTGGCATAGTAGATAAAAAGTACTTGACCTGGAATTTGGATGACGTCAGTTCAAAAACCATGTTTCTAAATGTGTGATGTTCAGTAAGTCACTTGATATCTCAGTACTTCTATGTCCTCACTTGTAAAATTTAGGGAGGGTGGAATAAATTATCTTTTAAGCATTCTCCAGTTTTAAATCTGTGATCTTATGTTATTGATATATACATTAGTACTAGCTCTCTTTGTGGTGGCAAAGAACTGGAAATTGAGGGGATGTCCATCAACTGGGCAATGGTTGAACAAGTTGTGGTATATGATTGTGTTGGAGTAATACTGTGCTATGAGAAATGATGAGTTCAATGGTCTTAGAAAAATGTGGAAAGACTTGCATAAAATAATGAAGAACCAAATGAGTAGAACCAAGAGAACATTGTATACAGTAACAAGAATATCGTTTTAAGAATGACTTTGAGTAAGTTATTTTGTCTATTATCAATACCCAAATTAACTGCCAAGGACATATGAAGGAAGATGTTATCTGCATCCAGAAAAAGAACTCATAAATATAAGTATACATAGAATGACTATACACACATATTTGTGTCTAATGGTAGCCATCTCTAGGGCCGGGGGGAGGAGAAAAAAAGGAAGACATTAAAATTAAATAAGAATATGCACATATACATATATGTGTGTCTATATAACATGTATACATATGTACACACACACACACACACATATATACACACCTAAATGGAAAGATGTAGATAGGAGGAAACAAAAAAATTGTCAGAGTTACTTTTATCTTTCATCCAGAGAAAATAATAAATATTATTTCATGAGACCACTGGTCACCTTATGTTAAAGTGTTTTCATACATAGAAGCAAAACAATAAGAAGAGGAAAATAATTGTAGCCAACAGACCAGCAGAAGATGAGAAGTAAATAATACTGTGAAGAATGTTAATAGTCACTGAATTGAATCAATATATACCTTAATATTCAATAACAAATGCAATGGTAGGAATAGAGAAAAGTAACCAAAATAAAAGAGGAAAATGTGGTTCAGGATTAGGACACTGAAGAGATCAAATGATAGTACTATTATAATTATAATGGTGTAACTATAATTATACAAATTAATTATACAAATTAATTACACTTTTCACACATATCATGAATATTTCTTTCAAAAAGAGAAACAGAATGTATTAGATATAACACATACTTAGCAACATCACAAAAAATCAAACAGATTATATCTTAACTTAGTTAATATGATAGATTACTGAGGTGGAAGTCATTGCCAGATTAACTCTCTTTGAGCAATGTAGCATCGACTTTTAGAGCAAAATCCAAAACCGATGCTAAATTAGGAGAAAGAATAAGATGATAAGATGAATACAGTTCTGTGAGAGATGCAACCTGACATATGCAAATACTTACTTGATACTGAAACATGAGGAACAATACTGTAAATTAACATATAAAATAATATTTAGATGAGGCTTTATTATTTGCAAAGTACTTTCCATCATTTTTCGTTGTTTCTGTTCAGTTGTTTTTAGTTCTGTCTGATACTTTGTGACTCCATTAAGGGTTTTCTTGGCCAAAATACTTTAATAGTTTGCCACTTCCTTCTCCAGCCCATTTTACAGATGAGGAAACTGAGGCAAACAGGGTTAAGTGATTTGCCCAGGGTCACATAACTTGTACGTGTTTGAAGCCAGATTTTAACTCAGGAAACCGAGTCTTCCTGACTCCAGGCTAGTCATTCTATCTATGGTGCCATCTAGTTGCCTTTTTATACATTATCTAGTGGCAGCAAGGTGACACAGCAGATTGATAGATTACTGGGCCTGGAGTCAAGAAGACCCAAGTTCAGATCTGGCCTCCCACGTTTACTAGCTATATGACCCCAGGCAAGTCACTTATTTTCTGTATGTCTCAGTTTCCTTATCTGTAAAATGTGGTAATAATAGCACCTACATCACAAAGATATCATGATCAAAGGAGATATTTGTCAAGTGTTTAGGATAATGCCTGACATATAGTAGGCCCTTAAATGCTTTTTTTCCTTCCATCCTTCCTTCATTTAAGTCTTGCAACAAATCTTGGAGTTATTATTCCTGACTTTTTATTTTCCTGAAGTTTTATTAATTTTAACATAATCTTCACTTCCAAATATATCCCTCCCTAATCCATCTTTATAAAAAAGGAATAAAAAAGAAAAGACCAAAAAGACAGTTCAACAAAACCAAGGAACCCATCAATAGCACATACAATGTTTCATAACCATGGTCTGCTATCTTTGTAAAGGAGGGAGGAAAGTGGATTTTCCTATCTTTTCTTCTAAATTCGATCATTAACATTACACAGAATCTAGATTCAGAATTTTTGTAATTCTTTCTGGTGATATGTTTGAAGTCATTGTATATGTCATTTTCCTGGTTCTACTTTCTTCACTTTACATCTTCTATGCAAGTCACCACATATGCACTTAGATTCTCTGTATTCATCTTTTCTTACGGTGGTATAATGATATTCCATTACATTCATCTATTAAAATTAATTTAAAAGGATATTCTTTTGTATTGCTAAATTTCCATTTAAAAATGATGAGATACAATCCTTTTAATATGTTCTAAAGATCAGTTTCTCTTTTTAAGGTAAAAGGGGGTAGAGGATGAAATCATAATAAATATAAACTATTTCAATTAATGTTATTTTGGGTAGAAATAATATAAAATTGTGTAATATGTCTAGTGAGAATGAACCCTCCATGATTTACTTCATAAGTAGAAACTTGATCATTTTTCCTACATGAATACATGAAAATTTGGAACTCTGAATCATAAAATGATTAAGCTGTTTGTTCCTCGTTGTTGTTTTCCAAGCTAGCAATAATAAGGCATGTATGGATTAGTGTCCCTAAAAGAAAGTCTTTGAATAATAAAAAATAAATTACTCTCCTTACA